ATGCAGGCATACTGGCCTAGTCTCTCTCCCAAGCAGGACACTGGCATCCCTGATTCCAAAGTTGCCCTGTGGTGTTCCTGATTCAACCACGCATTGTACACACTTTCCTGTACCCACATACAAGTGGGACTGCAGTTTGCATCAGGTCAACTTCCCTCCTGGTGAGGCTGACAGGTCACAGAGGTGGACAGGTAGCGCCCTCTTTCTCCTCCCAGAAGGCTGCATCTAGAATATTCTGATGAGCAGCTCAAGGAGAACTCTCTCACTAAGGTCTTGCTGTTCTCTGTAGGGTCACGCCCGCCCCCTTCGGCCTTGTAGGATGACACCTGCCTCTCCCAAGGCTCCACAAAGCCAGCTCCAACCTGCTCCCTTAGGCAGCTTCCCAGTTCCTAAGACACTGGTGGCAAGTTGCAGTACCTAGCCCTGGAGTGTGACGTGCTCACGGTGTAGAGGCTGGAGTGTGTCGTGAGGTAGCACTGGTACTTTCTCAGCACACAACTCCACCATGGGCCAAAGGAACCACCACGTCCTGTCTCAGTAGACAGTCTACGGACACATTCCCTCTTGGTGTCTCTCAACTTAGGGACACTGCCAGAGTGTTTATGTCACAAAAATGAAAACCTATATGGCTCAGACAGTCAGGGAGGGGTGATCAAAGGAGGAGGCATCTCTGGGGTACTATGATGTAAGTAACGAGAGTTCTTCCCTCTCTGGTCTGTTTCCAGATTGTTCTGTGCCTCTGCCCAATCGTCCTCCATGGACTCCATCCACTGGGTCCCAGAGGTCTCTCTGTCTCACAAGAGCCTATCAAATGTCTGGGGAAGAATTCCATCCAACCTAGAATCCCTACACAGAACAGCAAGACCCTAGTGAGAGGGTTCTCTTTGAGCTGCTCATCAGAATGGGGAGGCAGCGAGGACCAGGAGCCTGGCTTGCCGCCCTGGCAGCCCCTGAGGCCCTCTGGTGGCCATACTCAGGCCTGGCTGTGGTGCCGGAGGCTGCCAGGCCACTCAGTAGAGGCTTCCAGTAGGAAGTGGGGAGCTGGTTAAACGTCAAGTGTGGAATCATGGAATATGTGGGTGAGGGTCTGCACACAACACCAGAGGCAAGGGGGGCCAGGCCACGCTGAGGGAGGAGGGCCTGCTGATACTGGCGGAGCCATTGGATAGAGCTGCCCACTACCCCTTCCCCCAGCAGAGAGAGGCAAAGCCTGTGGCTGGGAAGTGAGCCCTTGCTCTAAGCATGACATTTCTGGGACAACTTTGCTTTTAACTTAAATGTTAACCTAGATTTTGTCTTACAGAGAACCATGTGACTCTGTTATCAGCCCTGATCTTTGAAAGTCTCTCCCCAGGAATGGCCACACCACCACAGCCTTGGCCACATGAGTGGAGAGACAACATCTCGTCTGACTCCCACTGACTGTCTTGGGTAGGTATAATTCCCTGTTTTACAAATGTGGAAGCCAGGTCCTGGCCAGGTAGGATCTGAACTCACGTCTTCCTACTCCCAGGGCTTCTCAGACCCCTCACCCAGCAGGGGACGGCATGGCTATGAGAAAGTGACCCATGCCACACGGGACTCCGGGAGACATGGTGGGGGAAGGGTGGAGAGGGTCGTCGTGGTCAACCGGGGAACGGGTCTCTTTCCAGGAGTGCTCTCATCACAGGGGCAGGGGGCAGCAGGTTCGGTCAGAATGGAGTGACTACAGCCGGCCAGCCTGAGGCCGACAGGAAGTGACAGAGCTTGGACGGGGCAGAGAAACAAACACGAACCTAGTGATGGACTCGTGATAGGGGATACCCGTCTTGAAAGCCTTTGAACATCCTGCTGGACTGGTCTACAGGCTCACTGGGCACTTGCCATGTTCCATGTCTCCAATGAGGATGGTCTGAGCCTACCCCGTCATAACCTGCCTCCCAGGCACAAACACTGGGCTTCTCTGCCAAACCATCTAAATCTCTAGAGACACTGCCACCACCTGCCTATGCCCCCAGACTTGCTCAGACTCGGGAGAAGGTCTGCAGCTGTGTTACAGTGCCCCTGACCCAAACACAGGGCTTTAGATGGGCACAAGCCTGGCACAAGCTTAAAAACCAGGCCAGGAAGTTACAGGCCAAGCAAAGGCGACTATGTGGAGAGTCCCCACAGGTACAAGCTGAGTCCACCAAGGGGACAGGCCAGACTGAGCATGATGAGCAGGTGACTTAGGGTCACATAAGCCCAGCATGGATTGGGATGGCTTGCCTAAGAGCTTGATTGTGGTACAGTCTGAGCAGGATGCAGCCTTGCACGGGTGTCTTTGGGCTCTGTGAGCAAAGGTAGGATTGAAAATGTAAGAGAACATGCCCTTCCAGTGGTCAGTGTGGGCACAGAGACAGAGAGTCCTGCAGCCACCAGGCAGGGACAGGCAGATCATGCTGTTCAGTGACAGATACCCACCACAGCAAAACCATTCTCCAGACCCCTCACAAGAACAAACCAACTGCTGCCATGGACAATGATGCACAGCTCATGTCCGGACTCTCTTGCAAAACCATTTCCATCTACCAGTGTCCTTCTGGGCCCAGGTTTCACTGTCCCACCACCACGTGGCCCTTAAGTGGCCCTCAGAGAGCAAGAGGCACTCCTAGATGCCAAGGAGCCTTGTCCCAGGACCTCTGACTTCTCCCCAGCACCACATCCTGACTGTCAGGCCAGAAGAAGTGGAGCTCTAGCTTTCCAGCGAGGCATCCGGGGAAGAGCCCCAGGCTAGCCTGGGGGTGAAAGTAAGTCAGTCTGAATTCCTGTGCTGCACAAGCAAGGACAAGCTACAGCCTTACTCTTATGGAGGCTAAGAAATGCAAAGGGTGCCTGGGACTAGGAAGAGGCCACCTGGAGGGGTGTGTGTGTGTGTGTGTGTGTGTGTGTGTGTGTGTGTGTGTGTATGTGCGTGCGTGCGTGCATGTGCGTGTGTTAGAATGAATGTAGGGAGCCAGAGAGCACAGACTGAGGGTAGGAGGGATTTGGCAGCTGGGACATAGCAAGACTAAGGACTGGGCCTAAGTCATGCAAGGTAGCCTTGGTCACCAGCATCTGTGCAGAAGTCATGAGGTTAGCACAGCTTGGAGGGGCCAGGTGGGCGCTGGCGTGGCTGTGCTCAGAAGCACCCCTGTCATCAGAGCCAAATACTTTGTGCCCACTTATGTGATGGGCCCTAATGGACCCCAAATGAAGGGTGGATGTAGACCGCATGAAGCAGGTACCTCAGATGACACAAAGTTGTAGGTCCTTGCCTTTCCAGACAGCCAATATCTATCTGGACCACCTGCTTCTGAAGAACACAGGGATGAACTCCAACAGTCCTGGTGTCTATCACCATCCAGGTTCACAGATTCTGAGACCCTCCCCAGGGCAGGCAGCACTTGCTCTGGATGGACCAGACACAGCCTGGATCCTGGACCAGAGGAGAGGTAGGAGGGGCTGGGGGATCATTGTGGAGTTAGAGGCTCTGGGTGCACAGATAGCTGTACTCAGGAAAGTTGTTCCCAAAGACAACCTGGGCATGGCTTCATCCCCTGGCTTTATGAAAGTGGGTATGTGTGCTGCATCTCAGATGGTGGGCCCACGTTAAAAGTCTAGCCTAAAAGCAGGATGACCAAGAGGAGTCCCAGCAAGGACCCAGCATCGATAGCGTAGCACAAACCAGAAGCCTCGAACCAGACCAATGACTCTCTGCAATGAACACTTGCAAGTAAAGATATATGGATGAGAGAGGGAAGCACCTAAAGTTAATACAAATGGGACAATTTCTTTCTTTTCCATCATTTCTAAATGTCTGAATCTACAGGGAAGAAGCAAGAGTCCCCTAGTACCCTAGACACTCTGATACCTGACACTGAAATAGTTAAGTGTTGCATGTATGCAACATTTAATTACTAAAAAATTAAAAGAGCAAAAGCCAGGGTACCCAGGCCTCCTGCCCAGAGCAACTCCAGGCTTGCAGATTGTCTAGGACCGTCGTCCCACTGAGGAATGCAGGGGTGTCTAGGGAGGAGATCCAAGCAGAGACACCAGACAAGGGGTTCCCAGCAGCGCCTCTTCTCTCATTTGTGAGGCCTTAGGAGCAGCGCGGTGCGGGGACATCCCATTGGCATCGCAAAGACCCGGCGCTCACCGAGGAAGTTCCCCAGCCTCGCCGCCCCTGGGTGCCTGTAAAGTTTCCATAGCTGCCTGGTCCCGGCTGCCAGGTGCTGCGGAGGCTCGTGGAGGGCAAGGCTGCGGGAGCTGGGTCGTGTTCAGCCGGGTAGCACGAAGCTGGAGCTTTGTCCAAGTCGGACAGGGCCCTGAGGTCACGCACAAAGGGACCCGCCCCCAGCGCCCCCAGGTTTCTGGAGACCCGGCGTGGGCGAGGCGCGGGTGCGCAGAGGGGAACTGGCTTCCGAACCCCACCCAGACCTTGAGTCCGAGCCCAGGACCCCGTCCCTACCGGAGTCCGCGTCGCAAGCTAGACTCGATACCCAGCCCGCTCCCCTAGCACACACCCCAGCCCTGGGCCAGACGCGAGAGTCCAGCCCCAGGCCCCAGGCCCACAGCCGGACCCCGCCCACCCGGCCGAGCTCACCTGGCGCGCGGCGTGGGCGGCTCCGCAGCGCGGCCTCCGCCCCCAAGACAGGCGTCCCCGGTCCCCCGGCGCGCGAGGAGCCGCCTCTCCAGCGCTCTGCAGCGGACGCGGCTCCCGGGGCCACAACTCGTGCGGGTGCGGGGGGGAGAACCCTCCCCCTCCCCTCCCCCGAGCCGGCTAGCCCTCCCACCCCTCCCGCGACCCGTGCGCAAAGCGGACCTGGCCGGCGACGAGGCCTCCGCCCCGCCCCATCCAACCGCGAATTTTCCCATTGGTAGAGAGACGCTCCCCGCAACCCGCACGGATTGGGTGGATGTGCAGAGATTGCAGCTTGCCGTTGGGCTCCTGGTGTTGTCAGTCTTAGCGGAAGATCGGCCCCCTAGCGGAGCAGGCCGAGGCCCTGACACCTGCCTTGAATGCTGCGGTTGCAGCGCAGACAGAAGGCTCGGAGCTGCCCCCTCTCGGCCACCTTCCGAGGACTTTCCGGGATAAGCAGGCCCTGAGCAGCAAGCAGCTCCCAGGGCCGGCGGTCACTCCCGGATTCCAGCAGCGCTGTCTCCATCACCATCCCCAGTTCGCAGGTATCCTTCAGTGCCTACTGTTTGCCGGACACGGAGCGTCGATCTCTTTTTATTGGCATAGAATGGCATTTCTCCTACAAGGAGAGTTGGACTGCTGCTCCCATTTTACAAATGGAAAATTGAGGTCCGGGGAGGTTCTTGCTTGTTTTAGGAGACTAGGGTGTGAACCCAGTGGTCAGACTTCCAGGTCATGGGGTCATTGCCCCAGCAAGGACAGACAAGGTTAGCGGGGCTGGCAAGGGGTGGGGATGATTGCAGTGATTTTGAGGGCAAAAACAGACTGGTAAAACTAGGGTTTGTTTCTTCTGTCAAACCAGAGCCCTTGGGTACTCCCCGTGAAGCTGCTCTTTCCTGGGAAAGGGGAATTGTGTGTTTATCTCTCCCCACCCGACCCTGGTGTCGGCATTTCCTCTGCCGTGCTTTGAGTCTTGGAGAAACATCAAGGAGCGTCATCCGCTGCCTGAAAAGATTAACACATTTCCCTGCCAGGTAGAGAACACCAACCACATCTCTGTGTGACATAAGGCAGTGGAGGGGAACCACCAGGGATGCTGTAGACAGGAGACGAGAGTGCAGAGATGAATCTGGCCTGTGCTTGCTTATAAGCCTTTCATGCCCTGGATGCACCCAGAAATTAGTAACTTCTGGACTGTCTGTATTTCCAAGGCCCCTACAGATAGTGCTAATGGAGGCCAGTGGGGGGGGATTTCCCAGACAGTCACAATTCACCCACTTATGCTGAGTCCAGCAATGCTCACCCAATAATGGTTGCTTGGCAAGAACGAGAAAGTAAAATCCCTGGAGGAAGATCTCACTTCTGGGTCCACCCGGGTTCACCAGTTCTCTAGCAATAAAAACTGACAGCTCCTTGCTACTACTACTCCATTGGTATTGGCACTTGAAATGAACACCATTTGGCATCCTAGCATTGAGATAGTGTTGCAGCTCTGGGAAGACAGAGGGAGCACCCCCAAGAAAACAGAGTCCTCCCAGAAGGCAGCTCTCCATGTAGAGCAACACTGCAGTTGCCATTCTGGCTAAGTTGCTATGTGGTGGGGGAGTCTCTCTCCTCCATCCGAAGTGGATTTAGTAAGTCCAGCTGTCCCCTGGCATTCTCCAAAGGCATGGGCCCCTAGGCATCCTGGAGCCCTTCTTTTGAAAACCTCATAGTTCTGTATCACTATTCCCGAATACTTGCTGATGGTACAAAGAGGCTGAACATGTCTTTTCTCTGCTGGAAGAGGGCAAAAGGGAGACATTCCTCCCAAATTAGCTCAAGCTAGGAATGCCCCCTTCCAGAGACCTGTCTGCTTTAGAGCCTGGTTACTTAATGCACAGCAAAGACCAGGGTGGGTAGAGCGGCTCAGGTAGGTCTCGGGGTGCTATCTTGCAGCCTGCCTCCTAGGCAGGGGTCAGAAGTGGAGCAGAGGACCACAGGGGCCGATAGTTCAGTGTCCCCACCGCCTCACCCTGTCTAACCAGCTGCTGGTCAGCTTAGGAGGGACAGCGCTGGGAAAGTTACAGAGTGAGAGCATGTGTCAGGAAGAACTTATCATCCAGTCAGCACCCGAAAGGGTGGCTACAAACGTGGTGACGGATGTGCAGTTGGAAGTGGGACGGCAATGAGCCAGACTTGAATGGGGGGGGGGGCAAGCCACCTGCTGCCTGTGATGGGATTTGAACCACCATCCAACCTGTTCCTGCATCTCTGTTAGTGATGGGAAAGCTTGTCCAACCCGCGTCCCACTCCAAGGCTTGGTGCTTTGGCGACAAGCCATTGTGTGTCTGCTGGCCCATAACCCAGCCCATACTCATTTATCCCCAAGCCTATGTCCTACATGCCCACCTCCAGTACTACCTCTGAATGCTGTAGACTGAGTGGTCTGGCTGCTCAGTGGGAGGTCGCTAGAGGGAGCATGGAGCGATTGTGCTAAACTGGAGGGGGAATGGACCGGGAATGGACGTGCCTAGCTAGGTCTGCCACCTGCTGGCCATGTGTCACGGTGTGCCGAGTCCTCTTATGTTGGTTGCAGTGTTTTCCATTGGCTCTGGGGAGGAGGAATACAGGTGAGGCAGTGAGATGGGCAGAGCAGCCTCCGTGGCTGGGTCTGGCTACAGCTTTGCCTTTGCCTCTCTGAGTTCCAGTTATCTGCAAAATATCAGCATTGCAGTTTGGGACCGTGGCACCTAGATCTTCCATACAAGCTACTGCCACTTGCCATTAAAAAAATTAAAATTACATTTTATTTAGTGTGTATGCACCACAATGTACATGTGGAGGTCAGAGGACAACTTCGAGGACTCAGTTCTCTCCTTCCACCTTGTGGGTCCCAGGGAGGGAACTCAGGTGGCCAGGTTGGACAGCAAGCATCTGTACGCACATCTTGCTAGCCCTTTATTTTACTTCAACTGAATAGCTTAACTGAGTGAGAGCTGGGCATCCAGACGCTGGTTTGAGAGCCTGTGGTACAATACCATTGTCCTTATTGTGCTTCTCATCCTTGTCATTGTCTCGAGTATTCACCTTGGGGAGGGACTTGTTTGCTCCACCTTATTGATGCCCAGGCCCCTGACACAACCTGATGCTAACGGGCACAGGAAGCCCCAGTGAATGAATGCCTCTGTCCTGTTCTGAAGGCCCCACGCCCGAGCATAGTTCAAGCGTAGTCAACTCCTTATCCTTGAGGTCTGGACCTTCAGGACAGCCTCCATGTCTGCTCAAAGACTATGGAAGGCGAGGTGGAGCAAAAGTCCAAGTTCTGTGTTGGGTGGTTTCTAATGCAAGGACTGCGATAGATGAGGGGTCAGAGGCCACACAGACAGTCTGGACTGAATTGGAGGCGGCAAAGGGAAGGGACAGATCCAGGGCAGATCTAGAGGCTAAGATCAGAACACAGCCTACGGACGGCGGTTCCGGCGCCTGAACCCGTCGGGGTTCAGGGGCTATCTCCCGTCTCCCAGAGATAACCCGCAGGCTGGGGTTGCTGTGGCAGCATGAAGCGCCCAGACACAGCTCCAGCTTTGGCGCAGTTCCAGTCTTGGCGCAGCTGCGGGGGCGGAGCGCCGAGTCTCTGAGCGACGGCACGCACAGCCAACAAGGCGGCGGCTCTGGGTGCGCCGCTCCGCCCTTCGCTGCTGCGCCCAATAGCGAGCGCTCTGGCGGCGGGCCGGGCGGGCCCGGGCTCGTGGCAGAGGTGCGCGGGTGCGGCACCCGGAAGTCGGCGGCTGCGGAGGCGGTGAGTGTGCGGCGGGAGGCTGGGGCGGCCGGGCTGCGCTCCTGGCGGGGCTAACCCGCGGTCGGGCGCCGGGCTCCTGGAACGCGGTCTGGACCAGGTTGGTCGAGGGCGAGGCGGCCCGCACCTTCTCGTCCTAACTCAGTTTCGCCTTTCCAAGGCGTAAAATGGAAACTCAGTAGCCTGGCTCGGGACTCTAGTCCGACAGACCAGACCTTCTCTGACCATTGAAAGCAGCCCCCACGGTACTGAAGGATGTTTCTGATTATGCCTGTCAGGACTAGGTGCGGGGAGGGGGTCACGGCAGACAGGAGCAGACTCGCTGTGTAAGAAGCAGATTGGTGGGACAGGGAGATGCATGGTTGTTGCAGGGTAGAGGGCTGCAGCCTCCAGCGTCAGGGACCGCTCTGGAGCCTAGTCACGCCGCCCCCTCTCGCCCTGAAGCCTGCTATGAGGCCTCGGGCCTCACGATGTGTCAGAGTAGGCAGCAAGTGCTGGGTCATTCCTGTGCCTGGTCTGTGTACTGGGCTGGCCTGGTAAACCCACGCCCGGAACTGGAGAGCGTTGCGTGTAGACTGCATCCAGGCCAGGCCTGGCCCCACTCTAGGCTCTTTAGCAGCCCAGGTGTGGGCAAGGAGGTTCCGATGTGGAGACCCCACCCGTCTACCCTCAGTGTCTCTCCCGTGCTTCCCTCTGCCTGCTAGGTCGCGTCTTTAGAGTGAACCTTATGACCTTCCACAAGTCCCTGATCCTCAGCCCTCCCGCCCCTCCCCCAGTGAAGTGCGTCTTCCTCAGCACTGGCTGCTGGCTGGACCTGCTGACTGCTGTTTTGCCCCTACTGGGCTCAGAGCCGACCTCTGAGGTAGATGTGACAGCAGCTATAAAGGACAGCTGGCTGCCACCGTGAAAGGCATCCTTTAGACAACTTTTTAAGACAATATTCATTGGTCCAGCACTGCCCATAGTGAAGGAAACTCTAGCTAAGGAGTCAAGTGTTTACAAGGCTGCTCCAGCCCAGGGTGCTTGGCTTCCAGGCTGTGCTCCCCCGCCCCACCCCCCAGTCATGTGATCTTCTGGAGAGGGTGGCTATTGCCGGATAAAGCAGAGCCTCTGCTCCTCCTGGATTCCTGGTGCAGGGATGTGGGGTGCTCCCACCATGGCTCCCAATCCCACATTTCCATTGCACTTTTGTGTCAGCATTGGGGGGGGGGGGCCACAGGTCAGAGAGACACAGTTCCCAGCCGTCACCCTCGGCAGCCTAGGGTTTCCTCTAGTTCTAAGGCCCCGAACTCATGTCTCATCAGGATCCAGGCTAGCCAGTTTATGAAGCAGAGTTGGAGATTGTGTTAAAATATTTCAGTAGAGGCTTAAGCATGAAGATTAGGAGCAAAAGAGGTGCTCAGAAAAAGTGAAACATACCCCAGAGGTTGGGCTTCTCAAAAGTAAGTCATTTAGCCGGCCGGTGAACATGGTGGCCACTCCTTTAATCCCAGCACTGGGGAGGTCGAGGCAGGTGAGGCCAACCTGGTCTACAAAAGGAGTTCTAAGGACAGCCAGGACTGTTACACAGAGAAACCCTGTCTTGAAAAACTAACCCCTCCCCGCCTCCCCCCCCAAAAGCAACTCATTGAGTGAGGTTTGAGGTTCCGTCTTGTCACTTGGATGGTTTCTGATGGCACCTGACGAGGTTATGTGGTGAAAGTGTGCCCTCAGGGGAGGCTATCTTACTGTAAACAGTTTTGTTTGAAGTTCTCTCATGGTGTCTGG